AGGGTTCGTCTTCTCGACCTGTTTCAGCAATGCCACTAGCTTACACATTTCCAGTTCTCCCTTCTTCTTGTTTGCTTTGCGGAATCTCTAATCGCGGCACCAGCATCTTCGTAGATCGACCGGAGGTTCAGATCTCAGGTTTCGTTTCTGAATTCGGAGAATCTGACCGCTCTAGATTGTCTCTCCGGCGGTTTCAGCGGTGGAGGTTGAACGCTGCTGCTGCTGGTGGTACTCATGTCGTCGTTGACAGTGCGCCGTCTCGTACTTCTTCCCTCGTTGCTTCTTCCTCTACGATCGAAATTCCGGTTACATGTTACCAGGTATTATGGTCTAACTCGCTTAATCGTCGGAATCCCCATGTCTCGCGATTTGGTACTTTACTTTTCGCTCAAGTACAAGTAGAATACTGTTTCTTTCTAAATTGGGTGTTGGTGGTAGCGAGTTTTGGGAAAAACATTTCCTCCAAATTTCTGGGGAATTGAGTCTGCAGCGTGTAGGAAATGAGTTTGGATGTTTAGATTTGACGACTTAATCAGCACGACTAAGCAATTTGTTATTGAATTTTCGTTGATTTCTGTGTATGTTAGGAATGTAGTGTTTTGCTTGTGAAACGTTGTTCCAGGCTGCTGTTAATGGTAACTGTAACTGAATTTGCAGCTTATCGGAGTTTCTGATCAAGCTGAGAAAGACGAGGTTGTTAAGTCGGTGATAAACTTGAAAAAAACTGATGCTGAAGAGGGTTATACAATGGAAGCTGCTATAGCTCGCCAGGTTAAGACCTATACAGAGTTTGATTCTGGTTTAAGTGCTCCATTGAATCTGACAATTTTATCACTAGAGTGGGACTGGGATATATGGCTTTCGTTTCTTGATGCTTTGTTCTCAATGATTCTAATGTGCAGGATCTTCTCATGGATGTTAGGGATAAACTTCTTTTTGAACCAGAATATGCTGGTAACATCAAAGAAAAAGTTTCTCCTAAATCTCCTCTCAGAATTCCATGGGCATGGTTGCCTGGTGCTCTATGCCTTCTTCAAGAGGTAATACAACTGAAATGTTATTGGGTCCTGCAAATTTTTTGTACTTCTATCTTTCTGCATTGAGTATCATTTCTATCAACACCCCTCCTCTTATGAATAAAATTTTGATTTTCTTCTATGAAACATAAGGGGAAATTTGTTGTTTTTCCTTATCAACTTTTTGGCATTACTTTTGTATAGAAGATAAAGTGGTGATGTGAGCTACTATGCTTCAGGTTGGAGAAGAAAACCTTGTGCTGGATATTGGTAGGGCTGCTCTCAGGCACCTTGATTCGAAGTCATATATACATGATATATTTTTGTCTATGGCCCTTGCTGAGGTAAGATCAAATAAATAAGGGATGGGAACTACTTACCAGCTTCTACTACCCATCTGCTTTTCTTCTATCTCTAATATGATTTTTTTCATGAAGTGTGCAATCGCCAAGGCTGCTTTCGAGGCTAACAAGGTCTCTCAAGGATTTGAAGCTCTTGCCCGGGCCCAATCTTTTCTGAAGAGTAAAGTTACTCTTGGGAAACTTGCATTGTTAACTCAGGTACTGTTCTGCTGTCTTGCATCAGTAAAGATAAAGCTTCTTTGTATGTACTTTTAGTTCTGTCACTGGCTTGAATTGTTAAACGTGCATTTGCATGCCTCTTACTGTCCAAAGACACAGTCTACCGGCACTTTGGGTGTTTAAACGATGTAAGTTGAAAATTTTAGATTGAAGAGTCACTAGAGGAGCTTGCACCACCATGCACATTGGATCTTCTGGGCCTGCCTCGCTCGCCAGAAAATGCAGAGAGGAGACGAGGGGCAATTGCAGCGCTACGTGAACTGCTCAGACAGGGACTTGATGTTGAAGCTTCGTGTCAAATTCAAGACTGGCCATGCTTTTTGAGCCAGGCAATTAGCAGGCTATTGGCCGCAGAGATTGTTGATCTTCTTCCATGGGATAGTTTGGCCATTACAAGGAAAAATAAAAAATCACTTGAATCTCACCATCAAAGAGTAGTAATTGATTTTAATTGTTTCTACATGGTGTTGGTTGCTCATATCGCTATTGGATTTTCAGGCAAGCAAAATGATATGGTATATCTCATGTTCTTTCCTTTTGTCAATTTAAATCAGTTGGTCCATTTCTTCTCTATTCTATCTGTTATTAAAGCATAACATTCAGTATGCTTGTGTAGATTAATAAAGCAAAAACGATATGCGAATGTCTCATAGCATCAGAAGGTGTTGATCTGAAATTTGAGGAAGCTTTTTGCTCATTTCTTCTAAAGCAGGTATTTTCCTCTCATGCATTCTTTATTCGTTTTCCCTTCAACTATCTTGTTGCATCTTATTTACTTCAAGCTCACTTGCTTCGAAAGATCCATGCGTTGAACATTTAGTTAAGTGCTACTGGACCTACATGTTGGATAGCACAGGGTTCCGAGGCAGAGGCCCTTGAAAAACTTAAGCAGCTGGAATCAAATTCAGACTCTGCCGTTCGTAATTCGATCCTGGGGAAAGAGTTGAGAAGTACTTCTGCAACTCCATCATTGGTAAACCTTATACTTTTTACCAAGAATTTGTGTTTGTTTGTTGCTAGCACTAGAGCGGACGTGCAATGATTCCTCGACTGATGGTTTTCTCTTGCTATAAAATTCATAGAATCTACTTTAACAGCAGTGTGTATTCCTGCCGTCAACTTTCTTTTTTGTTGCTTGTACACACGCTTTTACTAAATATTTTCTTGGGTAAGCCCTTTGGTTCATGCATCAAATTTAATTTGAAAATTTTGCAAGTCTGTACATCTCTTCTTCAGCGCTGAGTTTCTTTAATATAGGTTGATATCAGCCTTCTTACATACTACCTAATAAAATTGACCAGGAAGCGTGGTTAACGGAGTCTGTTCTTGCTAACTTTCCAGACACAAGGAGTTGTTCTCCATCTTTGGTAAGAATCAGATCACTTGCACGATTCAGTATACCAGGTTGGAATTAAGTAGAAACATATTCATATATACTACTTTCTGCAGACCAACTTTTTTCGGGCTGAAAAGAAATATCCAGAGAACAAGAAAATGGGGTCACCTTCGATCATTAATCACAAGACGAACCAAAGACCAGTTTCCACTAAGCAGTTCATGAATTCGTCACAGCATCTTTATACAGCTGTCGAGCAGTTGACACCAACAGAGTTGCAGACCCCAGTGGTATCAGCCAAGAATATTGATGAAAACAGTGCCAGTATGCCATCGGTTCAACTGAAAAGGAATCTTGGTTTACAACAAAACAAAATATGGGATGGTTGGTTCTCTCAGAGCAGTTTGATTAAGAGGGTATCTGTTGTTGCTTTATTGGGTTGCACTGTGTTCTTCTCTCTAAAGCTAACAGGCATCAGGTCTGGTAGATTACGGAGTTTGCCTATATGGGTTTCTGCAAAACCGCACTCAGAAACAGGTTCTTTTCAGTGGAAAACAGAGTCTGGGAATTTCAGAAGAAACCTTGCTTCTGTGAATAGATATGGTGTCGTGGGCAACATCAAAACGCTCTTGGACATGTTTAAGACGCATCATGGGGACCATCCGGATGCCTTGTATCTGAAAAGCTCCGGTCTAGCAGCTACATTGTCTCATGCCATGCCAGAAAAGCAAAAGAGACCAATGCTTATAGAAGACGCCGAAGAGCTTGTGAGACAGTGGGAAAATACTAAGGCTGAAGCTCTTGGACCTACTCATCAAGTTTATCGCCTTTATGAACTCCTTGATGAATCCATGCTTAACCAGGTTACTGTTTCTCTACCTTTACTCTGTTTATGTGCTTAATTGAGTTGGTTCACAACAGTTGAACGTCAATGATTGAGTAGAATCAATAGTTCAACTAGGTTTAGTTAGACAAGGGAAATGCTCGCATGGCCACTAGGTCAAGTTTGTATCTGTACCGGGTTTGCTCATTCGTTCTTTCTCGGGTGATGTGGGATATGTGCAGTGGCAAACCTTGGCAGAAACAGCAGAAGCTAAATCATGCTATTGGAGATTCGTTTTGCTTCATCTTGAGATTTTGCAAGCACACATTTTCGAAGATGGTATCGCTGGTGAGATTGCAGAGATCGAAGCCCTTTTAGAGGAAGCAGCGGAATTAGTTGATGAATCTCAGCCCAAAAACGCAAAATATTACAGGTAAAAAAAAAACATTTTTACTTCTGGGTTTGCTTTTGTACCGAGCTCGTATGTTTCACTCATGCTGCGTTTTGTGTATTTCTTGTAGCACTTACAAAATCCGCTATACTCTAAAGAAGCAAGAAGATGGGTCATGGAAATTCTGCGAAAGCGATATTCAGATACAGAAATGACTGAAAAAAGCTCATTAATTGGCCAAATGATATTTCATCTAACTAAAGTTGTAGCATCAATTCTAGAACATTGGATCATTTAGCCTTTGTTTCTGGTTTAGCTAACGACGTAGGAAAGAAAGTCTCAGGTTTCTTTGTTTATTCCTTAGCAATCTAATGAACTTGTCGCTGTAGATTCTTTTGATTTCAATCTGTTTGTGGATAGAGAGACCCTTTTGAGTTTTAAAATGTAAAGCGTTACCGCTCAAACCATATGTTTATTCAAAAATGTTCATCATTGTGGAGAATTAAAAAACATTTCATGAAGCCCATAACCATTTCACGTATTACGATGTAGTGGTTAGTGCTTACACAAGCACTGTTGAGAATTTTGAAATTTCAATTTGTTTTGATTAGACACATTGATTAAGACTTTATTACAAGAAAATAAGCTAAAAGTAAAGACATTGCGGTGAAGAAGAAACCCAGCGGTCACTCAAGTGAAGCGCACTAAAGAATCAGGACTTGCATTTTCTTTCTCTGTCTCTGTTTTC